AGGTGCCTTTGTGCTGTCCATGTGAACACATACTATTCTTTTTAAAAGATCTGTAGTTTTGAGTTCCTGTAGAAGCTGTATTTTTCATAACTTTTAGTTTCTGTTGTTGTTGTTGTTGTTGTTTAGTTGGAGCTCATTGGTCCTTACGGTTTTTCTCTTTATAGAATCATAGAATCGTTGAAAAGACCTTTAAGATCATAGAGTCCAACCACAAATGTTACTCATCTTTTGATAGTTAGACCTTATGACATAATAGTATTGCTACAATGGAAGATTCTTTGAATATAATCTTTTAAGTTGACTTGCTATGAGTGTAATACTAATGAGTGAAAAACACTCATGAGAGGAAAGCTTCCTATTTGCTGTTGCTCAAGAGTGATAAATATTTAAGCTCAGATTGTTACTCTTTTTAAAAGGGAATATTATTTTCTTTAAGATGATGTAGGTCCCAGTTCGACACAGAGTAAAACACAGAGTAACACAGTGGAAACTAAAGGAAAGAAAGAAAAGAAAGAGAAGAAGGAAAAGAAAGAAAAGAAAAAGAAGACATCTCAGGACACCTCAGTGCCACAAAAAAGTGAAACGAAGGAGTGGGTGCAAGGATTTTCTCCTGAAGGCTATACATACTACTACAACACAAAGACAGGAGGTAAAAACTAGTGAGGAGCAAATGCAGTTATAGTTATTGGATATCCATGAGAAAAGACTATCTGCATTTCTTTGCTCTTGCTCTCTCAGTAGTAAGTTGATTATTAAAATGTGAACAATTAGATGGAGTTTTGATATTTAACATTCCGGACTTAGGCATCCAGAACTTGAGAGTGGTTTTGCTGTTTGTTGGGAGAATGCAGTAATTCCACAGTTTCTGGAGATGTTCACCCTTTCAGAGGTTAAGTATACATAGATAGCTGTGTTCTTCCTAAAGAAGCTTTCTTGTCAGAAATGTGAAATAAATTTATTGCTCCCAAGTAAATGAGAGAGATCTGATTGTTTCTTGCCACATTTACAGGATTTATCTGATTGACTTTTATTGAGGCACTATGTGCTACGATCTACTTTAGAGCATAAAAGCAACCCTCTTTTATGATCAATGAGAATATTACAAACTGTTTCTTATGAATTTGAGGATTTACATTAGTATTTACCTTAGTCTTTCCTCATATAAGATAACTTCCAAAAGGTAAAAATCTTGTGTGTTTAGTTTCTTATGGCCTATGCTACCATTAAAAAAAAAAAAACCCTCACCTTTTTTGTACCAAAACCCCAGTATCTGTGTATCAGCCATAGTTAATTAATAGTCTGGAAGATGGATCAAGGATGATTTATATTGCAGTGAGCTGTATGAGCTGTATTTGTATTACTTGTTTGTATGTGTCTACATGTCAGTGTCATACTCTTTAGATTTGTTTTTTCTAAATATTATTAAACATGCACAAGATTGAATGATGAGTGAATTTTTTTTTTTTTTTAAGAATCACAGTGGGAGAAACCTAAAGGATTCCAGGGCAACTCTCAAAACTCACAGACGGTAATCAAATACTGTTATTCATACTTTTGTTTGTCCTAGTAAACACTTAGCAGAAATAAGCTGATTGCAGAAGATAAATGATTTGCTCTTAGTAAACTTATGATAACATAAACTTTTGATGACATAATTGGAATATATAGAATGTTTTATGGTATATTTGATGAAAACTGAAATTTTACGATACAGATCTTTTTTTTGGCTAATTTGTTTATCAAGGGAAGAGAAGTGATAGCGGTGGTTGTGTTTTTTTCAGAATATGATTTTTTGACACTTTGGCCCATGAAATTGCTTTGGGGAAATTCTGAATAAATTCTGTTCAGCCTTTTGTGAAAGAAATGTAATTTAAAAAGATAAAACTTAGACATTTGAAATAGTTAAGACTCCTTTATCATAGGAAACACTGAGATTGCCTTGTCAGATAGTATTTAAAAAGATAAAACTTAGACATTTGAAATGACTCCTTTATCGTAGGAAACATTGAGATTGCCTTGTCAGATAGTAAAAAAAAAATAGAGTGCCTTTTTTGTGTGTTTGTGTTAGGATATGGTTATGTGATAATATGTCTTTTTCATGGGTTTTTTATGATCATGGAACCTATGTGCAAGCAAACTTTTACCATATTACTATTTTTTCCTTATTTAAGGCACTGAAAAACTTGCAGAACAGTCCAAAGGCAGAAAAGTTTGTTATTACCATTAATGGGCTTTCCCCTGATACTTACTGCTCCAAGATTTTAGTGATTTGCAACATTAAAAATAGGATTTTTACAACACTCCTGTGAAGTGTTGTTACATTTCCCCATTTTCAAGATAGGTGTTACAGGTACAGCGTGATTTAAAGTCAGTGTTGTTTGCTAATGTTGGATTTTGTGTTAGAGATCAAAAAAAGCCTGACATTTCAGAGTGCTTGACACCCTGCAGCTCTGTATTGTTGCATCTCGGAAGGCAGACTGTGCTTGGTACTGGGTTACTCACAGTGCGAGGAGAAAATTGTTGCAATTGTCTACATTTTAGGCAATCGAATCAATTGACAAAATGTATGTGCAATTTTGTCTGTGTCCCCTCTCTTGTTGAGGCAGTGTTTTATCTCAGAAACACAGGCTTCTTCCACCCGGTGTTCATTCCCAAGAGACCGCGCGCTTCGTGTCACAGCTGCCCCTCACGTGCTGCTCTGGCTTTCTGAGGCCTTTATCCTGTGTTTTTGCACAACTTGTTACCCAGCACTTCAACTTTATCTTTTCAGTCAAGGCTCAGCTTTGCAGTATTTATAAGCCAGTCTTACCATAGCCTTCTGCTGAAGGAGGTGGTCCTGTGACTAATCTTGTATGGTCCATGGAGCATATTTGCCCTGTTAGTGAACTAGTTCAGGGAGTGAAGATGTCAGAGTTTAGGTTGTTGCTTTTGTAGCCCTATGTCCTTGCATCAGCTGTCTGACTAATCAGAGACATGCTGGTGTGGGGAGAGCAGATGGAGGAGAGAAGGAGCCTTCTTGGCAACAATTTGAAGCTAGCTTGTCACAGCTGTATCATAAATGCACACCTTCAGCCTCTGATATCTCTCTAATGCCACATGGCTGTATTTTGCCATTCCTCCCACACCCTGCTGGGTGACTTTGTGGTGTCTTGAGTTATTTTCGCTATTGCTAAAAACAAGCATTTGATTGCTCCCTTATTTAGTCTGAGCTAAATGTATTGGGAACATTGCAGATCTCTAACAAGGACTCACTGCCCGGAAATTAAAGGGCATGCTTGCAATATGTAGTGCAAGCGAGCTTCACAGGCCCTCCTTGTTTTATAGCATGTTAGCTTGCTGCTCAGACTTCGTGAGAGGTGGAGAGAACAGAGAAGTGAGCTTCAGTTAGATTGACATCATGCTTGTTAGCTTTTATGCAGTAGGATACTCAGTGTGCCTAGTGTCAGATATCTGCTGAGAATCTCTAAGAACCATGTCTAAAATGGTCAGGATCCAACTCTAACAAAAAGGAGAGGTTGTACTTAAGACTAGTGTTTTGTCCTCTTTCTTCTTACATAAAATAAATTTTCCTTTTGCTTCTTTTGTTGAAACTAGCACACTGGAATTTTGAGAGCAAAACCTTGAGGAAACTTGTACCCTGGAGGCTTTCTTGCCTTTGCCTGCTCTGAACCTACTGGTATAGTTTTTTCCTGTTTACAGAGCAGGTTGCAAGAACTTTAACTTCTGATTTTGCTGTGTTTTTAAAAATAAAAAAGTATTAAGCAAGTGTATAGGTATGCATGTACAAAAGCCTGTCTGTGTGTGTGTGGTTTTGTATACGCACAGAGACATTTATTAATGCAAAAATAATGTACAGTGAAGCTGCATAGATGGTCTGACTAATGCAGGGGAGCAGGCAGTATTAGTATGTAACGAGCACTGAAGTAGTTGTATGTGTAAGTGTTGATGACAGTCAGGTTCTTAAGGAAGATGTTAAGTCATGTGTAAAGACTGATTATCCAGCTGTGGCTGATTCTGCAAAACACCTTTATTTGAATTACACATCCACGAAGATATACCAGCAACTTCTGCTGCATTTCATATGTGTTTATTAATTAGTAGGGAAAAACAGTGCTCTGTTGAAATCGGTGCTTTACTTATATGAGTAAATTCATGGCATGGATTCCCGCAAAGTTTGCTTCTTCAGTATTTTTGGTGAAGATCTGTTTTGTGATAAATATGAGAAGTTTTGATTTTGTTTGCTTATCTTTAATTTGTGATAGTATTCATTGGTATGGGTTGTCTCTACAGCCCTGACAATACCCTGAGTCTTCCAGAGAAATTTTTTCTTGGTCTCTACTTAAGACAGTGACAAAACCAGGAAATGTCAACTTCAGGTGTGAATACTTGGGGAAATAATAAACATGTAAAATAATGTTCTTTATGGCCTTTATCATAATCTGAACTATATGGGAAGCTTTACTATACTGCCTCTTACTGTTTGAAAAAATTGTCTATGTGCATTTGCTGTACTTTAAATGAAGCAATTCAATCTCATTTGAGTCAAAGGGAATACTTTCTAACAACTTTAGGGGTTTAAGCTTCGAAACAGTAAAATTATAATGAACAAAAAATAGTCAAGTGTTGAACGGTCTTATAAGTGATGCTTTGGCTGATCCTTAAAACTCTCTTTTTTGAATTAGCTCCTGTATCTTTTTCTCAGGCAGCAGAGTGGGTAGAAGGTGTCACTGAAGATGGTCATACCTATTACTATAACACACAAACAGGAGGTAAGGAGAGCTTGTTTTCCACTTACTCTCTGTTTCAGAAGACAGGGTTTCAGAGCAGCATTTTATTTTGCAAATGACTGCATTTTAAGGCCATTACCAAGTTTTGTATTTTTTAAGCTGTTACTTTAGTTGAAATATACTTGTTGCTTAAGTCAGTGCTGGCTTTATAGCTGTATTATCAGTTTGCATACATTTGTGCTTCATAGGTCTTTTTAGACATTCAACTTCCAACTCTTAAGTTCTCCTTTTTTACACAGATATTGAAATTATGGTTTGGAAACTAGAAAGGGTCAGGAATTTGTTCTGACAGGTATGTCAGGTATGTAGGACTGAGTAAGAATCTCCTAAACTTTTCCTCTTGCTGACATGGTATTGATAACAGAGTCCAGAATCTTACCTCCTACTTCTTTTTCCCATTTTTTTCCCTACGTGGGGAACTTTGTGGTAACTCCTGCAGAACATGCATCTGTTTTCTAAATCTGTTCGAGTAATTTCAAGGTCAGTGATGCCTCTCTGGAGAGCAAGTGATTTTATGCGGGTTATGAGTTTTCCTT